CCTCCTCCCTCAGACCCAGGAGTCCAGGCCCCCAGCCCCTCCTCCCTCAGACCCAGGAGTCCAGACCCCCAGCCCCTCCTCCCTCAGACCCAGGAGTCCAGACCCCCAGCCCCTCCTCCCTCAGACCCAGGAGTCCAGACCCCCAGCCCCTCCTCCCTCAGACCCAGGAGTCCAGACCCCCAGCCCCTCCTCCCTCAGACCCAGGAGTCCAGACCCCCAGCCCCTCCTCCCTCAGACCCAGGAGTCCAGACCCCCAGCCCCTCCTCCCTCAGACCCAGGAGTCCAGGCCCCCAGCCCCTCCTCCCTCAGACCCAGGAGCCCAGGACCCAACCTCAGACACCATCAGACCTGGTGTCTGACCTCTAGTCCCCAGCCTGTCTCTCCCCTGTTCCCAGTTTGTTGATGACTTTTCTTTTCCTTTTAGTATTATTATTTTTTATTTTTACCAGCAATACATTGTTTACTTTTCTGCTCCTAGTCGTCCATACTTTTCGGGAAGTGAAACCATTCACTTATCTCTGGGCCTTGCCTTATCCGTGCAGCTGGAGGGCAGGTGTCCAGCCCAGCTCCTGGGTCCCTGGAGCCCCGCCTCTGCCCCTCCCCTCCCCACACCCAGAAAAGGCAGCTGGCCCTGGGGTGACCTTTGTCAGGGCTGAGCCTGGGGGAGGAGTCGCCCGCAGTCCCTCCCCCCGGGCTGTGCCTCTGTGGGGGCTGCCCCCCAGCCCCACAGTCTCACCTGGGCCTGGAGGGGAGGCTGGGCTCTGACTCTCTCCTGGGCTCCCCCCAGGGCCTGTGCGTCTGGACCGGAGCCAAGGCAGCCGGTGAGTGATCCTTGCTGAGTCCACCACCCACCCAGAGAGGTAGCACCTCAAGTCTCCTGTGTGAGCTTTGGGGGTTAGGGGGGTCTCCATGGAGGGCGCCAGGATCCCTGGCAGGTGCTGATGGGAGGGGTCTATCTGGCCTCCGGAGGGGATTAGGGACCCAGTTTGCTTCCCTATTTGCAGCACCCAACGCCACCGTCAGGAACCTGAACGTGTGGAATCAGACCAGCAGCTCCATCACCCTGGGCTGGGAGCCCCCGGAAGACCCGAGCCTGCAGAACCACACCTACACCTACTGGGTCAGGTGCAGCGGAGACGGTTGCAAAGATGAGCCCCAAAACACGACAGACGTCACTTACACGGCGGAGGGACTCGAACCCGCGTCCCGCTATGAGTTTTCCGTGTGGGTGGAAGAAGGTGGAGCCAACAGCTCCAAGGTGACCCTCAATGCCAGCACAGGTGAGAGCAGCCGCTGCTTAATCTGTTGTGGTTGGTTGTTTGTGTGTGTGTGTGTGTGTGTTGTTTTTTTAAAAATATATTTTATTGATTTTTTACAGAGAGGAAGGGAGAGGGATAGAGAGTTAGAAACATTGATGAGAGAGAAACATCGATCAGCTGCCTCCTGCACACTCCCCACTGGGGATGTGCCCGCAACCAAGGTACATGCCCTTGACCAGAATCGAACCTGGGACCCTTGAGTCCGCAGCCTGACGCTCTATCCACTGAGCCAAACCGGTTAGGGCTGTGTGTGTGTTTTTAATAAAACTTCTTTTAAAAAATTATTTATACATTTTTTAAACCTCATCTGAGGATATTTTTCCATGGATTTTTATTTTTTTTAAATATATTTCTTTATGGATTTCAGAGAGGACAGGAGAGGGAGAGAGAGATAGAAACATCAATGGTGAGAGAGAATCATGGATCGGTTGCCTCCTGCACACCCCCCTACTGGGGATGGAGCCCGAAACCCAGCATATGCCCTTGACTGGATTCGAATCCACGACCCTTCAGTCCACAGGTCGATGATGGCTGATGCTCTATCCACTGAGCCAAGCCGGCTAGGGCTCATTTGTTTGTTTATCCTCACCCCAGGATATGTTCATTTTTATTTTTTTTAAATATGTTTTTATTGATTTTATAGAGGAGGAGAAAGGGGGAGAGAGACAGAAGCGTCAATGATGAGAGAGAAGCATTCATTGGCTGCCTCCTGCCTGCCCCACACCTGGGATGGAGGCCGAAACCCCGGCATGTGCCCCGACCGGGAATGGAACCGTGACCTCCTGGTTCATAGGTGGACGCTCAACCACTGAGCCACGCTGGCCGGGCACGGCTGCCATTTTGGACTTGAGGGTCCAGCCACCGCCCCAGGCTTCCTGGGCCCAGCGGGGAAGGAAGGCCTGGACATGTGGCCCCAGAGTCCACAGCTGATTCCCTCTCCTGTCCCCTCCTCAGCCCCCAACCCCGTCAGCAAACTGACCGTGGAGAGTTGGACCAACATCTCCATCACCCTGCGCTGGGAGTCCCCAGACCCCCAAAGCTACACCTACTGGGTCCAGTGCACCAAAGACGATGGCAAGAACGAGACCTGGAACACGACAGACGTCACGTACACGGTGCAGGGACTCACGCCGGCGACCTCCTACCTGTTCTCCCTGTGGGCGGAGAAGCACGGAGTCCCCAGTTCCGTGCAGACCCAGGAGGGCTCCACAGGTCAGCCGCACCCCGCCCGATGGCTGGGTTTCCCCTGGGGGTGGGAGGAGGTGGCTGGGATCCGGTGGGAGCAGGGCCAGCCCAGGGCAGCCGGCAGGTCATTGGGCCTCCGTGGGCTGGACCTCCAGCCGGGCCCCAGGAGAGCCGGCCACAGCCCAGGGTTGTCCCTGGGCCCTCCTGCCTCTGAGTTAGGGCTGGGGAGCTTTCTAGACCACCATGCTAGTGCGGGGGCCAGGAGGGGCTCTGTTTAGCACCCAGGGCGGGGCGGGGGCTACACTGGGAACTGGGAGGGTCAGCGATGACCGGCTTCCCTGCAGACACTGAGCCTTCCTCCTGCCGTCTCAGCCCCCAACCCCGTCAGGGACCTGACCGTGGAGAGTTGGACCAACATCTCCATCACCCTGCGCTGGGAGGCCCCAGACCCCGAGGGTCAGCATGACCGGCTCCCCTGCGGACACTGAGCCTTCCTCCTGCCCTCTCAGCCCCCAACCCCGTCAGGGACCTGACCGTGGAGAGTCAGACCACCAGCTCCATCAGCCTGCGCTGGGGGCCTCCCCACGGCCCCGAACGGAACTACACCTACTGGGTCGAGTGGACGGGTGGCCGTGGCCAAACTGGGACCCAGAGCACAACAGACACCAGTGTCACAGTGGACGGACTGGAACCTGGGTCCGCCTACGAGCTCGCCGTGTGGGTGGAGAACGGAAACATCAGCAGCTCCCGGACCCCTCTCAGCGCAGCCACAGGTGACGGGGGGGCCATTGGTTTTGTCATCATTATCCTGTTTTTGTTTTTTAAATATATTTTTATTGATTTCAGAGAGGAAGGGAGAGGGAGCGGGAGAGAGAGGAACACCATGATGAGAGAGAATCATGGATCTGCTGCACGCCCCCTACTGGGGATGGAGCCTGCAGCTCAGCGTGAGCCCTGATGGGGAATCGAACCCGTGACCTCCTGGTTCATAGGTCTTCGCTCAACCGCTGAGCCACGCTGCCCGGCCTTGTGGGGTTTTTTGGGTATTTTTTTATGGGAGGTGATAGGTGGAGGTGGTGGGTCATCAGGAGAAGGCGACGGGAGTCTCTAGCCCCGCGTCTCTCTGGGTCACGTTGAGCAGGAGATGAAGAAAGAACATCCATGGGGCCCTAGCCGGTTTGCCTCAATGGATAGAGCGTTGGCCTGGGGACTGAGGGGTCCCAGGTTCGATTCCGGCCCAGGGCACATACCCTGGTTGCAGGATCCATCCCCAGTGGGGGGTGTGCAGGAGACAGCCGATCAATGATTCTGTCTCATCATTGATGTTTCTATCTCTCTTTCCCTCTTCCTCCCTCTCTGAAATCAATAAAAACATATTTTTTTAGAAAAAGTCCCATTCCTGGTCCTGAGTCCCGACACCACGATAGAAGACACCTTATGTTTGCCCATGTTACTGTCTCAGGCCAGCCCAGAGCATAGTCCAGCTCAGGAATCAAAGTCCCCGTCACTGTCACGTTCAGTGTTCATGCTCCTGCTCCTCCACCCACCTCCTTTACAATGTCCAGTGTGACCTCGGGGGGACCCGTGGGGAGCTCAGGAGAGACCTGCCCGTGCAGGCCACACAGGGGGGAGCAGCTGTGTCCGGCAGGTCATGTCACTGCACTGGTGACTTTGCTGCTGGTACCATTTCCCAGTCTGGCCCAGGGCTTCAGGGGTGCTGGTTATGCCCTGGCCAAGGTGGGGCTCCTGTCACCCGCAGAGGATGGGCTTCCCACAGCCATGTGATCTTGAGCAAAGTTAGTTACCTCGTCTCTCCAGACCCCAGTGCCTCATCTAATTTTATGGTTGGGGGGGTCACAACATGAGGAGCTGTATTTAAAGGGCCAGAAGGTTGAGAACCACTGGTCTTGAGGATGGAAGCTCAGGCCACCAGCTCCACCCCCTCCCCTGCTCCCGCTCTCCACTGCCCGTGTGGTGGCCACTCGTCACGCGTGGCTGTTTACACGTGAGCTCGCTCCAACGGCAAAGCCAGTTCCTCATTTCACGGGCCCGAGAGCTCAGGCCAGGGGCCCCCTCCTTCTCCCGCTGGCCCAGAGCCTGCTGTGTGGGGCCTCGGGAGAGCACTACCCTCCTCCCTGCAGAAATGTGAGTGGGGTGCTCCGGTCCAGAGCCTGGCTCCCCAGAGCGTGGTCCGTGGGGGGCCCCCAGCGACCCCGGAGGACTGCCTGGAGGGGCAGCGTCTCCGTCTGGTCTGGACCCACCGAGTCAGGACCTGCGTGTGAACGAGATCCCAGGGTCCCGTGTGCACATCACCCCCGTGCAGACCCCTCCCCTCCATCTCCTGGGACCCCTGGTGGAGGCAGGACCGGGAACTGTGAGGGTTAGAAATGCCACCGGTCCCGGCCTGAGTGGCTCCGTGGTTGAGCGTTGACCTATGAACCTGGAGGTCACGGTTCAATTCCAGGTTAGGGCACATGAAAGAGTTGGGGCCTCGATCCCCAGTGGGGGGCGTGCAGGAGGCAGCCGATCAGTGACTCTCTCTCATCGTTGATGTTTCCCTCTCTCTCTTCCTCTCCCTTCCTCTCTGAAATCAATACAAATATTTTTTAAAAGTGCCCAGCTTGTGTCCCCGCTGATCGGCTCCCTGTGGACACTGATCCTTCTCCCTCATGTCTCAGCCCCCAACCACGTTAGGAGCCTGAGCAGCACGAAGCAGACAACCGGCTCCATCACCCTGAGCTGGGAGGCGCCCGAAGACGATGACCCCGACCGTCGGAACTACACCTACTGGGTTGAGTACACTGGCGGCAGTAGCGAAACTAAAAAGCAAAGCGCGGCTGACACCCATGCCACGGTGGAGGGACTCGAACCCGGGACCCTGTACATGTTCTCGGTGTGGGCGGAAAAGAACGCCGTGCCTGGCTCCAGGCAGAACCTCAGCGTCTCCACAGGTGAGACCCCCCCCCCCGCTCCCCGTGTCCGCTCTGCTTTGGGGAGAGGCCGGAAACGGCCGAAATGGCACCTTCTCTGGGCCCCACGCTCTGGCTTCAGCCTCAGTGAGCCGGACCCACCCACCGAGGAGAGATGTGGCTGTATCTGGGGACTGACCGGGCCAGGAGGGTGACACTGCGCATAGTTTATTGATTTACAGAGAGATGGGAATGGAGAGGGCGCGCGCGCGCGAGAGAGAGAGAGAGAGAGAGAGAGAGAGAGAAACGATGTGAGAGGGAAACATCAATCTGCTGCCTCCTACATGCTTCCTACCTGGGAATGAGCCTGCAACCCAGGTGTGTGCCCTGACCAGGAATTGAACTGTGACCTCCTGGCACGTGGGAAAACGCCCTACCAACTGTGCCACACCTGCCAGAGCAGGAAGTGTTTCTTTTTTATATTTCTTGATTTTATTTAAAAACATTTTTTATTTTTT